GGGCCCGGCCGTTGATGGCGGGCGCGCGCAGCCGTCGCTGAGCAGGTGAGCGCGGGCAGGTGCGGGGGCGGCGGGGCTGAGGCGGCGGTCGTGCCGCGGTGGGAGTCCCGGGGAACTCCGGTTGGGCCGAGGGGTAGCAGGCCGGGCGGTTTTCCGGGGCATTGCCTCCGTGGGCTGCGGCTGGCCCGGGGCGGCGAAGCGGCGAGGCCGAGCTTAGCCAGAAGCGGGCATTTGGTTGGTGCAGTGGTGAGGGAATTTCCTGAGCTGCCTTTAATTACTTCAGGCGTCCTTCGAAAGCCGTAGAGGATTGTTTTCTGTCCAAAGTCAGCCGCTGTGATGGACTGTGCGGGGAGCAGGACGGGCGGTGTCGCGTTTGTGAGCGGCGCTGCCGCGCTCAGGTGTGCGAGCCCCGCACGGAGCCTCGTGCAGCGGTGGTGGCACCTGGAGCGGCCTCCCGTCCGGGCGAGTGCGACCGGCCGGTGCGGCTCGCTCGGCAGCGCGCTCTGCAGCCTCCGTGGAGGAGATCGCTGTCGGAGTTAGAGGCTCGGTGGCCGCCGGGGGTGCCCAAGGAGTTCAGAGGCTCGGTGGCCACCGGGGGTGCCCAGAGGCCCCCAGGAGCACCGGCAGAGACCGGCTGTGCGGCCCTGAGCCACTACTTGTGTATAACCTCGAGCCAATCGTGCGTGTTAAGCAGGAGTCGTTCCTCTGTGTATGCAGTGCTGCAGTAAAGTATTGCTTGCTTCTTAATCCTGCATTGGTGTTAAGAAGGAGTTTGATCCCCGATTTTGGGTGGTAATGACACAACGTTGTTCTTTTCTGTAGCTAAAACTAGTTGGATTTTATCTCTTGCACCCTTCCAGAACCTCCGAGCTGGTCACCCTCTGCGTTCTGAGGACAATCTTGGAATCTGCTTTTTTTGCCCTCATTCAGTGTAATAGACTTTAATTAAAATCTTGTGTATACTTGGACTGTTGTATTCTTAATTTGCATTAACATGTGCATTAATTCCAGCTTAAACATCCTGCAGCGCTTGAAGCCTGGTGCAACACTCTGATGGCAGCTCAGATGACCAATGCTCATCGACGGTTCTTGCAGGTTCTGATGTCTAATGGGATAACAGAAGGATCAGAGGCCAGAAAATTACACCAGCACTGCTGTGAAACTGATAAAGGTATGTCTGTCTTGGTGATGAAAGAACTGGGTTTTTTTCCTGGTGCAGCTTGCAAATAATTTGATTTCTGAAGGGCATGTGTCAGCTAAAAAAAGTTTAAAAGCTGTAATTACATGAGTGTTCCCTCTCTTTCCTGAAAGATAAAACAGCAATGAGTAAACTAACTTCTAATCAGGCCACATTCACATACAGTATATTTTATTTTGTCAAGGTTGTTGTTTATTGGTTATACATATAAATTATTTCAAAAAAATAATTTTTGACACTGGAAGTGCTTCACTATATTGAATGCTTTTAGGTAAATGCACTTCAGTCATTTCTCCCAGGTGCTGTGGGAGAAGTGACTGGTGCAAAAATATTTCTGTGAGGATGAGCAATTCCTGGTGAATTGCTGTGCTTTCTTCCCACCTCACCTGTACTGTATTGTCCATTCCAAGTCCTGGAAGCTGTGCTCCTACTAGGCTTAGGAGTGTCCCTGTGCCATGCCACCATGCTGCTCACTCTGCAGGGACTCTTCTGGTTTTCTGTGAATCTGTACCTACTTACCCATAGATGCAACACCAGATTACCACAAAGTAATCTATTTGTATGTCTCTTGAGTCAGGAACTGTAACTTGACCTACTTCTTAGATGATAAAATTTTGAAGTACAACTTTTGGTTCTCTAACCCCTGTTCAATTTTTATGGAGAATTTTTATCCCTTTTTTTCCACAGAAGATCTATTGGAGCAGCCACTGAACATTAAAATATAACATTAAAGTGTTAAAGCTGTTGTACAGAAGAGTATTCTGTTACCCTTTCATCTTTTTCCATCTCTGAGATCTGTCCCTGAAGCTCCCTGGCTGCTGTGTGGTGTTTGCTGCTGACAGGGGCCAAGCCAGTGGCAAAACTATAGTTAATTTTGTACTTCCTTTACTGTCGTTCTTGCTGTTTGTTGGCATTGTTCACTGAAGGAATCCTGTATGTCAGAACCAGGAACTCGTGGGCAGGAGCATCCTAGGAGTGCTGCTTGGCACTGGGCTGGGTGGTGTGCTGCGCTTTGGGAGCGGGACTTGGCCCAGTGCTGCTAAGTGAACAAGGGACTCCTGTGACTGGACAGCATTAATTTCATGATAACTGGTTGTAATTTTGAAACGTGAGTCATTTATCTAAAATTATGAGCTGTTACTTTGTGGCAGGCTGAGGAAGGCTGTGAGAAGATGAGAGAAAAGAATTATATACTATTCTTATCTTAACTTGCTGCACCTGATATTGTGAACATGTGAAATGTGTTATGGAGATTTGGTTACCAAAGGGTGGTTTCTTAATTAGCCAGTGGTGGTGGTGTTTTAATTAGAGGACCAATTAGGTCTGGCTGTAGCAAACTAGGGTATAAAAAAAGCAATAGGTTTCTGAATAAAGAAATCATCAGCATTCTGTAAATGTATGGAGTCTATGTAACTTATTACCTGGCCGGGGGCCTACTGTAACATTACTTAGCTCTGGTTTTTTAACCATAGCCTGAGGAAGGCAAACAGGAGTGTTGCCACTGACAAAGTCTTGTTTTGGATGGATGTGAGGGTTGTGCTGTGCAGGCAAGACCCATTGTATACTTGTATACTCTTCCACAGAGCTACTGCAGAGTCCATCCTAATTATGTCTATGATAAAACTGCTGCTAGTATTTGCTTGGTTTATAGAATGTGACTCAAGATATTTCTTGTGTTTCTACAACACTAGAATTTTAGGTTTTCTGATATGTAACTTGAGCACTTATGTGCCATTAATCTGTGAAACAGAGCATACAGAAACAAGAAATCCCTTATGTATAAAGGAATTCAAGTCAGTGTATTTTTCTGTTGTGCATAATATTTTTTCCCAGTCATATTTTATTTTCATTTCAGCTTAGTTCAGGTCACTGTAATTACTGGATTAGTGCTATGGGTTCCCTGCAACAAGGCAGAATGTCTGGACTCTGTCAACTGATTTTAAAGGAGCTGAGCATCTCGGAAGGCCATGAGACAGCAGCACAAGGAAATGCTGTTTCTGCTGAATAGAACAGTTTGAATTCATGTTCGAATTCTGCCTCAGTTTTAGCACTCTTACCTGGGAAAAAGTGTTTCACATAAAAAGATCCTGTCTGATGTGTAGTTGTTTGTCTTTTCTTATGTTTTTTCTCTGTATGACTTTTCTCCTTCACTTTCAGTTTACTATGCACACGATAAACTGGATGATTTCATCAGCACTATTAACAGCCACCTGCAGCCTTTGTTTATGCAGATCCGGAAAGGAATCTCAGAAGATGATGGGAGAGCACATTATGCTGTAGTAGGTACCTGCTGTGCTGTGTTTGCATGGGGCTGGCAGTGGCTGCAGGAGCTGCTGGGAGGATCAGCTGCCACAGCCCAGGTGTATGGGAATAGGACACGGCAGAAGGATGACAGCAGCGATGGAGTTGCTTAGCATAAAGACTGCTTAAGTGCTGAAGTGAGATTTCTTTTCCACAGGAGACTTTCCTGAGACAGATTTTTAAACTAGAAAACACAGAGAGCTGTCCAACATCAGTTTTCTTTTTCTCCCACTCAAAAATCAACCTAGCACGAAAGGGTTGCTGAGGAGTTGTCTAAGTTGTTTCCCCAGATGATCTGCAATGTGCATGTCAGAGAAGGTTATCTAGTAATTTCAGAAGACCATACAGAAGGTATCCTAAATTAGCTGCTGCCTCTAACCTTTCCCTTTTCCAGTTAAGTTGAGCTAATAATTAATAGTAGTAGCATGTGCAATAACAATAGAAAACATGGTCAGCTGTTTTTCATAGTGGAAAAAAGGTGACTGATAACGTAGGTCTGGTGCTAGGCAGCAGCAGGAACTACCTAGCACCTGTGATGTGTCAGCTCTGCTGCAGCACTCTGTGTCAGTTTGGGGAGCTTGTGTTGTGGAATGGCTTTGCCTGGGCAGAGGAAGCTGTGGAGAATTTGTGGCTGTTGTAAAGAAAGAACTTGAGTACTGTCAAGTGCCCCTAAAAAAATTAACATTTATGTTAATTGTAAGATGATGTATTCTTAACCTCAGGGGTTTTTTTAGTTTCTGGTATGAAACTACATTGGCACTTTATATCAGTTTATTTTTTTTGTAGGTGAATTTGGCAGAAACTGAAGTAACTAAAATGGCATCTGACTATACAGAAATTGAATTGGAATTGTTCAGAAAAACAGTAAGTATGTCAGATATTGCTTAGTAAGTCACATTATTTGTAAAGCTCACATCTTAAAATGAATGAAAATGGAGATGTGGTTGAAGAAGTAGTTGCCATTTTACCTAAGTTTATCTGAGATCAAATGGATGGGGTGGGCAGGGATGAAAGTACGTGCAAGTAATGATTTGCTGTTGTTAGTCAGTTATGGGTAAGGCAAAATCAGCACCAGGGAATGGCTCCTTGGGTTAGGGACAAGACACTTCTAGTTACACAAGCAACTTTCTTCAGGATTTTCAGTCATGACTGCTGAGTTTTTCACTGGCTTCAGTAGTTTAGTAATATACAGTAGTTTTTAATGCTACTAACATACAAAATGAATTTGCTGATTTGCATTTAAACATTTGTCTATGGTTATTGAGGTTTTTCCTCAAAACATCTTTGACAAAGAGCAGATAAAAAGAAATGGATCTGTCACCACTGAGTGTGGTGTCCCTGAATGCATCTTCATTTAGGCAGCATGTATACTTCTATTTGTGGAAACATTTTCTTGGCAAAGATCAAAACTCTTAAGGGGACAATGAGTGTTTCAGCTTTTGGCCTTTGTTTTACAATTCTGGGTCAAGCCGTATACTGTAGTATCTTTCACATACATGGATGCAAAAAAAATGCACATCAGCACATTACTGTAAGGTGTGTCTGCCTAATTGCAGTGTTTCTAATACTTGGTAATGTTTCTTCCTGTAGATGGACCTAATAATTTTATCAGAAAATGGCTTTGCCTCATCTACAGATATTTTAAACTTGGCTGACCAACTTAAGACAAAGAAAATGAAGAAAAAGGAAGCAGAACAAGTGCTGAAAGTTTTTGTGGAGGATAAGTGGCTCTCTGAGGTAACTGCATTCAAGTGTTCTTAGTTCAGTGGGTCCAGCCACCATGTTCTTATGGATGTGGTAGCTGAGACTGGAGCTCTTGAATGAATGATGGCAAAAATGGTCTTATGGCACCCATGCTTATTGGTGCTCCAGTGATTTTTGCAGAAAAGGAAGTAGACTTAAATGGAAGAAGTCCTTGAGTAGTTCTGTACAGGACCATATGGTTTCAGTTTCTTTTACCAGAAGCAGGTGGGTTTGTGTGTCCAGTCGTGCCCAGTGATGCACAGACACAACAGCACAGCATCCTTCAACCTGGAACAAGAGTTGGGGAGAGCTCTTCAGAGTCATCAGTGCTGTTAGCTGCATTTGGAGTTTCCTGAAAAGGAGTAAGGCCAGACATGTTGAGAATTCCTGTACCAGAAATGTGTGGGCCACTGTGCATGTGGTTACACCTGTTTTATTTTATGAGGAGCAGTGGAAATGAGCTCACCATGTGGACCATGGTGGACTGACCACGTGGATACTGCAGTTGCTTGCTAAGTGAGACCTTAATCCCTTTTCTGCTGGAGTCATTGCACCATAGATCTTCAACCTGCTGCCACACAGTTACTTACTTGTTAAGTTGATTTGGCAGATACTTCCAAAGATACATCAAGCAGGAAATGCCTAGATTTTGTTTGGGAGAATTTCCTCTAACATTCTTTTTGGGAAGGTCCCAAAACAGCATGCCGCTGTTAAGGAGCGCATGCTTGCTCATTTATGCTTTCTAAGGACTAGATCTCTGTTAAAGGTGTGGGATTTTTATGCTGCTCCTCTAAACAAAGGAGTTCTGCTACTTCAAAAGTGTTCTGGCGTTGCATTGTACCAGCATGTTGGTTTCATGACAGTAGAAAAAAGTGGCTTGTTAACAGGTGGTTAGCAAAGTCAAAAAAGGTAAAAGAATGAAAGGAAATTCTTCATCTCAACATTTGTTTCCTTAGAAAAATGGAGACTACACTCTGCATACTCGTTGCATAATTGAGATGGAACAGTACATTCTCAGCAACTACCAGGATGTGGCAAGGAAATGTAACATCTGTCACAGCCTCGCCATCCAGGTAACATGTTTAATCACCTCAGCCAATGGACTTGCATGGTCATAGCTGAGGTTTGTGATGCTTTCTCTTGGGTATAATCTTGGTCTTGTAATCTGGTCATGGTGCTCATGCACTTTGTAAAAAAATTTTTCCATTTTAGGCATTTTAGCTTCTGTCTTTAGAAATAAAATTGTCTTGGAGCAGTGTCTCAAAGTATAAAATTGCAGAAGTGCACTCCCACAATGAGGAACATGGTTGTGCTGTCTAGCTTTCCAAACCAGCATGTTGGAGATGAGCTCCTGATGCTGAAAGAGGTTTAGCAGTGAGGTGTTAGCAGTGTCCTCTGGGCCTTGCCAGTAGATGTCATCGTGTGACACACTGATTCTTGGTTCTGGGATTTTAATTCAGGAATTGCTGGTGTTTGGACCTCAGAACACATGTGCTATGTAGAGCATGCTAAAGCACTGTGTTTTGATAGCTGGGATGTTACTGTTCCATCTTGCTTAAGTAGTTACAGCCTGGATTCATATTCCAAAACTGCTACATTTTCTTGCTCTGTGAGCCTGCATCTTCTGATCTGCCCAACTAACATGCTTCCTTGTTACTTTTCCATCCTTAATTAGTCTCCTTTATTGCACTGAATTTGTTGTCTTTCAAACTAAATTTTGTCCATATAGGGAAATAGTATTTCCCAGTTTACAGAAAAAGGCCTCCTTTTACCATTTACCAGCTTTGACTGCTGAGTGTGTCCACCACCCATATTGTGGGAACCATTCTTTGGAACACAGCATTGCGTATCTGCTGCTCTTTGTAACAACTTTCTCTTAAATTGAAGAACAGTTTAGAATGTTTTTGTGAAAGAACACTCCTGATTTCAGAGCCAAGTATGTGAATCCTGTGGAATTGGAATGCACTTACCTTGTGTCAGAAAGTACTTCAGAGGCCAGACTGAACCCCGCTGTCCCAAGTGTAATGAATTCTGGTCTTGTGACACCCCAGGTACTAAGCAATGTATTTTTTAAAAATGGAATGTAATAATACTAGGAAATGGGCTGTTACGTTCAGTGGCACTGCCTGCATTATTTATAACTGTATCAGCTATTTCTGACTTCAGTGGTATGTTTCAGGCACACACAGGCAGCATTGAGCCCCCACAGCACCCAAAGAGTGCCACAGGGGCATTAGCAGACACTGTGCATATTGTTTTATAACTATCTTTAGGAGGTCGGGGAGAGGGGGGAAGGAATAGAAGCACACACAACCCATGACACTAGAACTTCTGGAAATACCAAGCTTCTAAGAATCTCTTTGGAATTCCTCCATTTGTCCAGCGAAATTGGACATTGTGAACAGCAACAGAGGAATGTACAAAGCATTTTAGAAAAGGTGGTTATACAATATTATTTTTTTGTGTGTGTGTGTTGTCCATTAACCTTCCTTTAGTTTTCTTTACAGGTGTGAATCGGATGGGTTCCCAGACTTACCACAGAGCTCCACTCTTGGCCCTAGATGATGCCAGTAAAACTTGATGTCAGTGACATCTGTTTGCCCCCACTCTGGCAGAACAGCCAGACTGTATTGTATTCATTAGTAACAGTGCTCAGTGTACTCATTTTCTGAAGTTTTAAGAATCTTACAATAAAACTATCATTGATGTTCCTATTCACAGTAATGCCTGCACAGCTTTCTTGGAGACTGTTTTCTATTTGTAATTCTCCATATTCTTGGGCTGGGACTCTCAGTGCATGTTTGGGGATGAAAGATGCAAATGTTTTAGTCAGTCCTGCAATCTGATACATGCAGCTGAACTCTTGAAAGAAGCCTTTCTCAGCAAGGGCTCCCTGTCTGCACAGGAACAGTACAAATTCAGTTGCACAACGGAAATGACACCTGCTGTGGCACGTCAAGCAGGTGAAAAATCAGTGTGGTGTGTGCAAGGCAGCTGGCTCAGTCTCTGACCCTGGGCTGGAGTTGGAACACTTTTAGTTGGCACTGTGGTTGTGCTTTGTCCCTTCTTTAGGTGCAGCAGAGTTTGTCTTGACGTAAGGCCATGTCATGAGCAGCTGTGCTCTGTAAGGAGGGAATATTGCTACAGAAGGATTGGGAAGCAGTAGGACAGGACTTGGGGCAATGCTGGCTTATGTCTGCAAACTGCTGGAAACATTACCATACTGAGACTCTTTAGGTTTTTCGTCCTGGCACTTCTGTCTGCAGTTTTAAGAAAGGATGCTTTTTCCTTTAAGAGTGAACTTGGAAAGGAGCCAAGGACTGGCTATTGCCAGACACCAGACTAAAATGGCAGCTTTCTTGTCCTTGGTAGAGATGTGTGACACAGCAGAAGAGCTGTGGCAGCAGCTCATATGATGGTTAATCAAAATATAATTAAACTTCATGTTATCTAACTGCAATTAAACTATGGATTAACTTTAGTTACGTTCTAGGCTTTACCATGATGTTGTGGTTTAGAAATGGTACTCCCCAAATTAGTGTTCCCACCAAAACACTCCAAACCGTGAGACACTTGCTCATTTCCTCTTCCCCCTACCTCTCCCCTCACGGACAGGAGAATTGGGAGGTCCGAAAGATAAAGACCATGAGTTGCAATAAAAACAATTTACTGGAAACAGCAATGGAATAAGAAAATGAGCAGTAATAGCAACACTATCAATAACAGTGTACAGGAGAGACAAAAGAGTCACAGAGATTCAATCACTGTAAGACCAAGGAGCCCCTTCCTGCCGCTGGCCTGCAGCAGTGGCAGGCTGAGGTGGTACAAAATAACCTCTGGGTCTGGGCCATGCCCTTCCTGGCTATTGCAAAAATTAACCCTATCCTGGCCAGAACCAGCGCATGAATAACTTTTTCCATACAGGAGACTAGTACCTTGCTTGGTGTTAGCTTATTTTTTTCATTGGTTGAATCTTCAGGTAGCACCATCTCTCTAGCTAACTCCAGGGTTTAGTGTTACTAAATCCAAGTAGAAGATAACCCTGACCTGGTTCTGGAGACAGGCTCAGGCAGAGCCCTGGCAGTGCCCATACAGAGGCTCTTTCTGATGGATGCACACACAGGACAATGACCTAACATATGCTCTTTAGGAGTTATTAGAAACATTACAAAAATGAAGTGACTACAGCGTCATCTTTCCACCTACCCATTGTGACTACTTCTCCATGCTTTAGCAAGAGTTTGTTGTTTTTGCTCCACCTCTAACCTCTCCTGAAAGAAAGATGCTACTTGCCTGATTTTTAATTTAATTTCAGTGCTGCTGACTACATTTCAGAACTATGACCACCAGAAACTAACAGAGAAGCTGAGCTCAAGCGATCGCACATAGTGCCAATATTTAACCGGGATAAACAGAATCTGTCCAGGCATCAGAATGCAGGACTGAAATGCAGCCTTTGTGAAATTTGGAAACTTGGCCAAGTCTGGATCTTCCACATCAACCTATAAAAAACCAAACAATCATCAGAAGAATGTCTTTACTCAAATATGATTTGATAACATTATTGATATTAAAATTTCAGGCAACTATTTACCTGACTAGTGTTGTGAAGAATTTGGCTTTCATGGGGGTACAGGTTTTCTGAATCTTGTGGTGAATAGAGACGGATATACTTTCTTCCAAATACCTGTACATAATAAATGTTTCCATTGGTCATTAACTGGCACATTACTGGAAGCTGTGTGCCATAGCTGGCATTTTAACAGTAAAATATACCTGATTACAAGGAACATAATTATTGTTAGTAATAGACACTGCTATAATAAAAAGTTAAATCAGGCTATTGGAATTCAAGTACCTCTTCCCTTGGAGCAGATAAGAATTTGAAATACCTTTGGGAAGGAAATGCCTTTAACCAGATTGCTTTCAATTCAAAGTTCAAGGCACTCAATTGATACAGCATAATTTGGGCTCTACATAGCTAGAAATAAGAACTGAGAATAAGAAGGCTGAACCTTCATTGCAATTCACATCAACAGGCAGAGGTACTTGCACAGTGACTACTAAGCTTCCATATACCCCTCAAACTCTTATTTCTGTCTCATCATTAAACCAGTTCTTTCATTGGAGTGCTGAAATGAGATGAGAATTTGTAAGGCAAGTGACCTGGCTTCCCTGAATGCTACATGAACTGCAAGTTTTTGGTGTCAAGATATAGCAGCATGAATGAGTCAAAGCTGAGTCCTCCACTGATACCAGTGGAACAGAAGGTTGAGGGTGCAGATTCATACTGCTTGTGCCAGCATTCCAGATCACCCCAACAGCTAGGCATGATCATACTTCTTGGGAACTGTCCTGTTGTGAGTACTCTGACTAATCCCAACAGCCTTGAGTGGCTACCCAACCATTCCTAACCAATTTGCTTTTCCTCTATCTTAACATCCCTTCCCACATAACAGAACAGGATTTCCTGAAATCTTACCAACACCAAAACTGTCATACTGGCTATTTAGAGTTTGTTGATTTCTACACACTGGAATGCCCTGTCCTGCTCTTCACTATCACTGATTAAACTACTTGATCTATATAACTCTGGGTGTCCATGTGTTTTTAGGATGTCTTCCATACTCCAAAGGGATTAAGGATATTAATTAGCTTGCTAAAGAACCAAGTATTACAGGGTATTTTTGGTGACATATGGAAGTGACAAAAGTGCTGGTTATTGCTCAAACAGCATGTTCTCTGAATGCTTGAAATTTTTTGGGACTGCCATCAGCTGTTAACACCTCCTTCCTTCACTTGCCTCACTGGATTAAGACCTTGTATATTATAAAATGGCAGGCACCAGTTAATGGGCAATAGCCTGCATCTCCAGAGACTGCTTTTCTCATTAATGGGAAAACTATGATCTCAGCACCAACCACCAGCCAGGAAAATTTCATTTTGTTACTTGTACTTGTGCTTCCCTGTACTCCACAGACGCTGTTTAAATGGCATCACAAAGCAGGGCAATTTTAATTGAAAGCTGCCAGATTACAAAGACTCCTTCACAGCACTGGCAGATAATCTCCTATTTTTTCAGGCAGAAGAAAACAAGTTCTGAGGTTTTTAAGGGAAGTATCTTTTCCCAGTACAACAGCCCCTATAAATTTTTCTTCCACCAAGCAAAATTCCCCTCAAGCTTTACACAGCATGAATAGTACAGTACTTCACCTTCAGAATGCAGCTGTATGTGTGTGCCGAGCAGGTAGCACACAAAAGAAATACAATCCATACAAAGTTACACAGCAGTTGTAAAAAACCATTCTAGGATGGCCTGAATTAAGCCTCAGTTTCAAGTGAAAACATAGGTTAGCAAGATGCAACCGACACAGAGAAACTAAGGCTCAACCCATAAATAACCATCAGTAGAAAGTAATGTCACAATCCTGCTGGAAAAGTGTGAAAGTGTAAGCCTGGATTTTTTTAAAGAGTCTGACGGGACAGCAATCTCCTTCAGTAAACAAAACACCTCTCAGTGTTCAAAGATTCACAGTAGTCAACTGCTTGGATCCAGAAGACATCCCTTTGACCTGTTCAGTGCTTACCACAAAAGGCCCCAATACTTTATTGGGTTATTCTGCACTAAAAGTCATCATCAAAAAGCCTACCAAGAGGAACTCGGCAGAAATTATGTCAAAGTACAAGCTTTAATTCCTATCTCACTGCATGCATTAATATTTTACTGGGTAACCTGAAACTGACTAAAGTATGCACCTAAGTCCACCTCAAAACCTTGCTTTCCAGAAGTGCTGGCTTTGGCTGGGGTAGAACTAATTTTCTTCCAAGTGGCTGGTATAGGACTATGTTTTGGATTTGTACTGAACACAGGGTTGATAATATAGAAATGTTTTTGTTATTGCTGAGCAGGGTTTACACAGATCTGAAGCCTTTTCTGTCTATCATGCTGGCATGTTGGCAAGGAAGTTGGAGGTACCTGGGAGACTGGAGGAGACACAACCAGGACAGGTGACCTAAACTGACTGACCAAAGGATATTCCAGACTACATTACATCATGCTTAGTACATGGGGGAAGAAGAAGAAAGGGGGGATGTTTGGAGTGACAGTGTTTGTCCCCCCCAGTAATTGTTAAGCATGATGGGCTCTGCTCTCCTGGGAATGACTGAACACCCTGGGTGTTCCCCTGCCCATGGGAAGCAGAAAAGTAATTCTTTGTTTTGCTTTACCTATATGCACAGTTTTTGCCTATTAAACCTCAATCCACAAGTTTTCTAGTTTTTACTCTCCCATTCTCTCCCTCATCCTGCTGGTTGGGGGATGAGAAAGCGGCTGCATGAGGCTTGAGGATTTGCTGGGCTCAAACCACAATACCAGAAAAATATACTCCTTAGTACAACATGACAAGATCCAGATTCTTCCCAACTCTGTTACAAATTCCATGTGACCTTGGAAAAGCTGCTTCTTGTGATTTCTATCATCTGTAAAACAAGGGGAAGTAATGGTCTCTCAACGAGCAACACTTGTAGTCTATAAGATTACATTCAGTAGTAAATTGCAGTAGTGACAAATACAATAAAGTAGCAAAATAGTATCTGCATGTTCTCTAACCTTCGATTGTTCAAGTTGTCTGCTCCCCTTGTCTCTAACACATACCCTAAACATTTTCTCTAAGTATTGCATCAATGGCATGTGTGTAGTAACTAGAGTACATACCTGGGCTAAAAAATTTTGCTGGGGATCCTGATGAAGAGGTGAGATTGTGCCTCCTGGACCAAACCAGGCATTAATGGTGATGTCATCTTCTTCCCCTTCCCCCAGGCAGCAGTAGTCAGGGATACTGATATCTTCTTTCAGTTCTGGAATCTATTTCCACAAAGAAACATTAAAAAGGATATGTGCTGACTTGCCAAAATATGCAATTCATCAAATAGATGAGCAAGGCTAGATGAAAAGAAAACAAATGACTGGCTGGTCCAGCAAGGGTAGGAGAAAAGTAGCTGAATTGCTAGGAATCTGCATGAAATGTTCTCAAACTTTCTGTTCTAGTGAGCAGACTCTGTTGGAAGGAGAAGCAGGAGAAAGAAAGGGGTTTCCTCATTCTTCAGAGACCCTTTGCTTTTGCAGAAATCAGAGACACTCACAAGAATAAGTACATTAGCTCATGGAAAAGGAGCAGCTATCTCTTCTATACTATGTTTGCTTATCTGTGAAATTCTTTTTCATGTCTCCCACCAACAAAAGCTCTGGTAAACTGGAATGACACTTCAGATTATGGTAAACATATTAATGTTGAAAACTTTCCTGTCGAAATCTTTTCCCTGACTTATGAAAGGGGCTTTCCAGGTGATATCCCCCTAAGTATATGCTACATTGTACTGAAACAGCACTAGGATTGAATGTCTTCATCCCAAACAGGATTTGCTTCCATGTCTTGTAGCCAAATGGACAAACTTCTCCCTCTGATCCTTTAAATCATGGAATAGAAACTTCAGAATTACTGTGAATTCTCCATACACCCTTCAATCTAGTACAGTCAACATCTTGAGAGACAATTTGTGCTACAAAAGGAAGACACGACTGTAGGAAGATAAAAACACTCACTCAGTTTTACCTGATCAAAAAGCTGGTGCTGGGCAAGGTATCCTACATTGCTCTGAAATGATAGCAGAGAAAGAAAAAACACAGTAACATACAGGTAGGACAGTGAGTTAATTTACTTACAGGTGAATAGAATTTACTTATAGTAAATTCCAGTGTCCTTTTCAGAGTACTGTACATAACTATTTCACCAGTATAAGGTGTCTTCAGAAATAGCAACTTACAGCTCCATTGAAATTGTGAGAGTGTAGGCATGTCTCCACAATGAATAAATGATCCAGCTTGAGTTACTGAGGGAAGCTGGGACTCCCTATGGAGCCTTGGCAGCTCACAATGCACTACATCGTTCTAGCCAGACCCTGCTGGCACACAGACCAGTTCTCCTTCACGCCCTGGAACTACTTCCATACTCTGTTCCAGGGTACACCACAGATCAATTTGCTATGGCACATAGTCCTTCCTGCCAGAAGGCCAGGAAACAGCAATGGGGGCTTGGGATCCTCATCTGTGAAAGCAAAGGACATTCCAGATGCTAATCAACTTTGTATTTTTCTGCCTCACGGCTTGTAAATTTGGATCTGATCCTAAATCTCACTAAGCAGTTTAATGAGAAAGAGGAACAACATTGCTGGCTGAGGATCCCTTATTCTTAGATTCCACCAGTCACGTTTTTGCTGCATATGTATGTGTGTATATATTAATCGAATTCCAGCTACTGTACATTTGATTATAGGTAAAAATCAAACCTATTGTTGCAATAATTATTCCTAGCTTCAGGTCTTGAAAATATGTGAAATCTTTTAATTCAGAGCTGTGCTTACAGCACACTCCCTCCTTTGATATCACCTCTGAGAAGGCTTGTTGTAAACAGAAGTGTTGTCTGTACCAGTACCATGCTGCTGTGTTTGGAGATGAAACAAAGGAGTGTAACAGACCTCATCCATGATATACTGGCTGACGAAGTCACTGACAGTCATGAGCTGCTGAGACCATTCCTCATCTGTATACCGAGCACCCAGCTCCACGGGGACTGTGCGGCACCCTGCGACTTGACAGAAATAGTCCACACTGAAATAAAGAAAATTCCATTACCTTCTATACTTATTAACTTTGAATGTAAGGCAATCAATCCAAATCAATTTTGTTGGGTAATAAAACTCTACTACCCTAAGTTTCTCCTGTCTAAATCAAACCAACCAGAAGAAAAAGGCAGAATAAAAGATTGAAAGCAACACGGAAATCAGCAGGCAGGTTTGTGTGTACATGACCCCACAACTTTCTGTTTTGTTTTGGTTTAAAAACCTGTTTGCCTCAGTTGTTTCATTCCAAAATAAGAAGATTTAAGCTGTTACTTGTCTCCTGGCAAGGGATGGCCAATCCTTTTGCTGCCTGCTGCCACATTTGATAAAATGTTGTATCTTTTACTCAGTAACATTAGATCAACGCTCTGTCAGTGTCTATACAGACGCCAATACCCATTCCAATTGTAGCCAGAGGGATTAGTTTGAGGGGTGAAATACATCTCTCCATGGACAACAGCTCTAATTAAACTGAGAAGTTAATCTTGTTAAGTGTCTAAAGTTAACCAGTGCAGTACCTTCCCTCAAAAATGCATGATACCTCTACAACATAACAAGTGCATGCACATAATTTTACCTTTGGTTGTTGAACAAAAGCAATTACTCAAACTAAGCATGAGTGATTTTTCCCCTTTTCTGGGGAATCATGACCTTCACCTCACAAATACTTGATGCTCAGTATTGGAAATGTGGGCACCATTGCGTGCAGTAACCAGGCAGCACAATGCTGGTACTCAGTCCTGCACAGTGGTGTCTGAAACTCAGCACTCTAACACAACACTGAACAAACATCAGTGCTTGCACTTATGAATGAAAAAGTCAACCACGCTTACTCTTGGCTCTGAAATTCACTTTCCATTGTAGTAATTATGGGCAAGCTCCAAGAGGTAAAAACCACTGATAGGTGTGCTTGACACAGATCCACTGAGCTGTGAACAGCTCACTGGCACTTCGCAATGCGCACTTCTCGTGAGCTCCCAGGGGCTGCCATTGGGCTCCTGGGACAGCTAAAGGCAGGGCAGAGGGTGGCCTTCACCCACGAAGAGCCAGAGGCTGGTCAAAGAGCCACCTTTGGCCCCGAGACAGTGCAGCATCCGCCTGGAATGCTATGAAGAGCTTCCCTCATCCAGGAAGCAACTTCCACAGAGCAGGGGGACAGTGCTGCTAGCAAAATGCACTGCCCACAGTATCCATCGCCCGGGAAGGGCTGCTGCTCTATCGAGCATCAAGATATCCAACACAAGGAACGACCGAAGGAACTTACTTCTCACCTCCACTTCTTCATACACGGCCAGTGATCCATGACGCCCTCCAGGACCACGGGCCGCTGGGGAAGGAGGTAGTTGTCTCTGAAGTGCTCCAGGGAAGGACAGCGGAGGTGCGGAACGCCCTCCTGCGGCCGCAGGGCGGGGGGCGGCGGCTGCGGCCGGGCGCTGTGGAACGGCCGCTCCCCCTCAGGCGCCGGCGCGGCCGCGCGCGGGGCAGCGCGAGGCAGGCCGGGCCGCGCGCGGGGCAGGTGCGGCTGCAGCGCGCGCACCAGGCGCGCCAGGACGTTGTCCAGGATGGCGGCGCCCATGAGCAGCCCCAGGTCGCAGAGCCGCACGGCGCGCGCGAGCGGGCGGCCCGCCGCCACCTCGGCCAGCGCCCCGAAGAGGCAGCCGTAGGCGTAGACCTGGCGCCAGCCCTTGCCGACCTCCCTCCATGGCCCCGCGTTCAGCTTCTCCCAGGAGTAGTCACGCAGGACGTCGCTGAGGCGCTCCAGCGCCGCTGCCGCTGCCGCCCCGGGCCGGCCCGCCGCGCCGTAGAGCAGCGCGCGGGCCCGCCGCAGCAGCGGCAGGACGCAGTCCTCCACCTCGCCGCTCAGCGCCAAGGTCAGCCCCTCCTCGGCGCGGGGCAGCAGCGCCCACACCTCGGCCCACAGCGCGGGGCTGTCGCTCTCGCCTTCCGCGCTGCCGGTCACCGCCATGGCCACGCCTGCGCCGACGTCCGCGAGGCGGCGCTGTCGGGCCGGGGCTGAGGCGGGCCGGGCGCGGGAGGCGGGCCCGGCGCTGAGGCGGGCCCGGGGCTGAGGCGGGCCGGGCGCGGGAGGCGGGCCCAGAGGCCAGTCGGGCTGTCCGCGCCGAGACCGGAGCTTCTGTTGTGCTGGCGAAGCTCGGTCTCGTCGTTCTCACCTGTGCGCTTGACCAGCGAGTCAGCTGGAATTGCGTGACTGTGATCGGCGCTGCTTTCGCAGTAAAGGGAGCCCGCAGCCGCGGTGAAGGTCACGGTCTCTTCTCCGGCCGTTCCCCGAGGGCCGGCGTGAGGAGGTGGCTGCCTGCGCTGTGGAAGCCTCTCAGTCCCGGTCGCGGGACAGCGGAGCGCAGGCGGTGAGTGCTGGGGGAAAGGGAGATGCGCTCTTGCCAGCTGACCTTTTGTGCTGCAAGGAAACGTCTCTGCCCGGCCCCCGCGGGCGCTCCAGGAGCTCCAGCGAAGCCCAGCGCGGCTCTGAGCCCGTGTCCTCCCGCTGGCTCAGTTGCTGCCTGTTAATCTGCACACAGAACGTGCTTTCTGCATGGGATATGCACGAAAGTCTTCTTTCTAACGCGCTGGGCACGGCATCACTGAACCCCAACTTGCTTTGATAATGTGCCCTGAACGTTCTCAGCACTTAATACTTGACTGCAAAGGCAAAATAATATTTTACTTAAAATTCTGCAAATGAGGAATGTTTTGCAGGGTGAACCAAGCTAAACCATCATAAGAAGAAATGAGGAATTGTTAGCTCCTAGTTAGGGTTGAAATCTTCGGGATTTGAGACAAATCCTAATTTCCAGGAAAAGTTAAAATAATCATTTTCTGTACTCAGACACTCACTCTTCTTTGTTCCATGCTCAGTCACTACTGCTTTCCAAAAAGGAAAAAAAAGTTGATGTGAATCCTTCTGTTGCTGCTCGTGGCGGCTCTCCCCCTGCCGCCCAGCTGTCTCCTCAAAATGATCACTTCTGCTCTCACACTTCTCACACTTCAGATTTGTGCATTGCTTATCATGCTGGCCTGTCTATTGCCTGTCTTCTGACTGCCTTTCTCTTAGCACCTTAAATTCCTTCTGTGACAGTGTGATTTTAGCACCTTCATTCAGTATTTTCTCCTTAACTGCTAAATGTTAATATATGCTGCTGTAGGAGAAAGTATTTAAGTGGTGAGGAGATTTTCTTTTTAGACTCTGTGTTCATTATTTGCAATTTAGGATGATAGCAAGTGTTGTTAGTCTTGTGTTTGTGGACTGCCCACTTTTTATAACCATTTACATTAGTTTTTATTTGCATTTAGGTTAGTTAATACAATTCTCATTAAATAATAGTTTTTGTAATTTAAATATGAGTAATATTTTCATGAGTTTCACTTTGAAGATTAGGATTTTCTTTCTGGAATTTCAAACAACACCAAGGTCTGAACAAGTAATCTCCAGCACAGCAGTGGGGCATTGAGACTGTGATAAGCTTTATCAGTTTCACTTCAGGTGATTTTAGTTTTTGAGTACTCAGGGAGGCTGTGTTCCTCTGTAAGCACACACTGGAAGACAATTATTTCTAGTCAGTTTTGGTGCAATAGTTTGAATTCTGATACAGCATCAATAGTCTTGAATCACAGAATCAGCTAGGTTGGAAAAGAACCTTTGAGATCATCAAGTCGAAGCTAAGATCTAACACTGCCTTGTCACCCGGACCGTGGCACTGAGTACCACTTCCAGACTTATCTTAAGCACCTGCGTGGGCAGCCCATTCCAATGCCCAATCACTCCTTCTGTGAGGAACTTCTTCCTAATGTCCAGCCTAAAACTTGCCTAGTGCATCTTAAGGCTGTGTCCTCTTGTCCTGTCAGTGGTTGCCTGGAAGAAGAGACCGACCCCACCTGGCTACAAACTCCTTTCAGGAAGTTGTCATTGCAGTTAAAGGGGCTGTATATCTGCTGAGCTAAAAGGCTCAGGTCTCAGGGTGTGTACTGAGTCTTCTGTGTTTGGCCTCTAGCCTTGGAGGAAAGTCCACTGAAAGCTCATAATATCATGCTGCATCTTAACAACTTGGTTGAAATTATCTTCATTGGGGAAAAAACCCAACAGATTTGCAAATGCTGAATTGGGAAGTTTACCTCTCAGAGCAGTTAACCTTGCAATAGTGCATGCTAATTTTGAAATGCCTGTAAGCTACTGCAGATGTTTTGCGTGAGCTGGCTGACCAAGGAAGTGGAAGACTTCAGTGCTAGACATTTCCATTTTAGGTCAAGAAGAGAAAATTTAATTCCTGCTGCCAAAGAACAAAGATTACTGTCAAGTGTCTAACCTGCAGAAACTGATGGGAAAAAGAGTTCCACGGATTATACCACCATCACTGAAACTTGTTTTTGTCAGAAGTAAATTTTTTTAAGATTGTGGAAAGCAGACTACTTAATCTTGTAGAAAGGTGTCCCTTAAAGCATAGAAGAAAACTTGGTACCAAGGCTTCCCCTCCTGCTTTGTGGGTTATAGTCTGTGCTTTTTGTTCTCTTTTATATTCTGTTTATTTTTAAATATGCTCCAGCCACCTCTTTTTCTCCTAGCATGGACTTTCAGAAAGAAATTATCTATTTTAAAAAACCCAAACAAACAGGCACACAAGGGAGATAATGCCATCTGTATACAGATAAAACCATCTGTATTTCTCTCTTCTGTTTACAGTCATAGATTCCAGGGCCCACAGGTGATGTTACCATGTCTGCCACTGGTGAAAAAGTCATTAGTCACACCAAATATAAAAAAATACACTCTGTATCTTATCTTGCATTTGTCTTCATTGAAGAATATTGGCCAAAGAGTATTTGGCCTGTCCAGAATTTAATTTTTTTTAGAATTTATTTATAGGAATATTCTCCTTTATAGCACTCTGTTCATTAACTCAAATTAGCAAATGAGGAAAAAGTCCTGTGATTGTTTTTGGATATTATTAAAGTTACATGAAGACACATGCTCAGTGGTTCACCACTTAAGTCCAAAGTAGGATGTTTGTGTTAGGTGGATCAATTTTTAAAATGACAGCATCTGTTTGCTTGTACTTATTTATTTATGATTCTTCCCTAGGTGAATGTAGCAGAAGTCTGGTGAGAAATAGCCAGCTGTTGGAATTAGCAGATAGAGAAAGCAGTTATTTGTTCCGTGAAGGAATGTGAAAGCTGAGGCCAGGAGTAATGAAAACTAAATAGATGCCCCAAATATCTACACACAAGTCAGGACATGTAAATTGCTTGCTGTGTTGAATGGTGAAGTCATCTCAGATGCGTTGCCTTGTCTGGAGTTCTTGTTAAAGATGAAACCTTCTTCAGTGCAACATCATATCTAGCATCCAGAGCACAACAAGTAACACTGAAGATTTTCTTTCTCAGGACTCTGGGCTGCTGCTCAGCTCCTCCGGAATGCCGTGTCCCTTTTGGCAGCCTGCCACTTTGGAATTTATACCCTCCTTAAAGGGAGGATGGCAAGAAGATGGAGCCAGGCTCTTCTCAGTGATGCCCAGTAATAGGAAAAGAGGCAAGGCACAGAAAGTGATGCACAGGAAGTTTCACCTGACCCTGAGGAAGAACTTCACTGTGGGAGTGTGGTGCACTGAACAGATTGCCTGGAGAGGGTGTGGAAAGTCCCTCACTGGAGATATTCCAGAATGTACTGGACACGATCCTGTGTCAAGTGCTCTGGGATGGCTCTGCTTGAGCAGGGAGGTTGGACCAGATGACCCACCTGTGGTCCCTTCTAACCTGAACCATTCTGTAATTCTGTACCAGGAAAGGTGATCTGTTCCCTTGTTTCCAGGGCTTTTGCAATGCCTGGGCATGTGCCTTCACCGGCCATCACAGCAGGTAAGTGCCTGTCAGTGTTGGCAGCATCCGGGAGCAGGGATGAAGTGGGGACAGGCCGATACTGCTGCTGCCCTGCCAGCAGTGTTTAGGCTGTTTTTGCTTCCAGAAGTGGTTGATTGGTACCTTTCATGAGCAGTACACACAATATACTCACTTAACATCGCCCCTGTGCCTCCCCACCCATGCAAAAAAAAAAAAGGTAAAAAAAAGTGAAAATAGAACCTAACATGCCCTCTGCACTTAAATGAGAATATAAATCGATGACCGCCATGAAAGTCGTAGCTGGCTCATATTTTCCTTTACAGGAAATTATTGTCTCTTCTGCAAGAACAAAAGTGTGAACACATACAACTTTAAAGATTTTGGTTGTCTTTCCAGGTTGCTTTTTCTGTTCCTCTGAACAGGAGGTGAATGATTCTGATTAAAATATATACAGAATTAATTATTAAACATAATTTTCCTCAGATGAGCAAGGTCTTCCTGGTTGAGAGTAACACAGTTGTATATTTTCATGGTATCTTGGAGTTGAGTGTAGTTGTTCAGTGACAGTGTAATGACGGATATATCTTTATCAACCTGTACCCTGAACTGTTTTTATCACTGCCATCTGCTTGGCCAAGAGTGGCAGCTGCCAGGTCTCACAAATAGTGCTGTCATGTACTTTCATGTAGAACAACATATTGTTGCAATTTCCCTGATATTACTAGATGAAATAACTTTAAGTGAGAGAAGGTGACATTTTGCATGGCACTTTGAAATGTGTCTCATTGCTTTGGGTATAGGACACACAGTGTTCTTTCTGGGGCAAGCTATATCAGCACACCCAGTTATACTTTTAGAAATCACTGGAAAATACTTATTTTACAAAAACATTACGTAACATCCATCTGGGACATATGTGTCAGTGCTGAGACGCAACTGAGACAGTATTGCTTACACATGTAGCCTTAGTTACCTTTGCTGGATGGAAATTATGTAAGTTAGACTATTTTAAAGTTCCTTTTCCTTATATCAACTTGAATCCCCTTAATATTTGCAAATAAGCTCCTTCAACATTAAAGAAAACAAAATCTTTACAACTGTCATGAATGAGTGTTTTAAGGTTGGGACATGTCATTTTCATTAGCCACGTTTTATATACATTTTATATACATTTATGTACCTTAAGAGGAAGAATATTTATACATATATATAAACATTTTTTTCCTTCCTCCCAAGATTTAAAAATCTCATTTGAAACTTGTGTTTGATTCATCCCTTGGACTAGAGCTATAAATGCTGCATGAATTTGTTTTGTGCTCTAAGTATACACATTTATCTGTGTTCCTAAATCGCATTCTTATTAATGAGCACAGTGGTTGTACACCACAATTGTTGGTTGTATTGGCCTTTTGTTTCTGTGGATGCTTTTGAAAGATATTTTAAAGTCTTTGTTGGAGGTTGCATGTGCTTCAAAAATTAAATTTAGTCTGTGATTTTATTGCACTTTTAATTTAATTTATCTTAACTGGTGCTTTCAAGCTGTGAACCAGCTGTTGACTTTGAAAAAAACATTGTTCAGTTTGAAAGGAGCATTTTAAAGCTTAATGTAGTGGCTGTAAGTAATCACTACAGCAATTATATTCTCTGGTGTTGTGCATCACTATAGCAATATTGGAGGCTGTAAGAAAATGCAGGAAAGAAACCCATCAGGTTCATATGTCTCAGTTTTTTCTGCAGTGCCCAGCATCTGTCTGTTCTTTATAGCTTGGTGTCCCTGCTTGAATTGTGTCAGAAAATCAGAAGTTTCACTCTGTTGTGGCTCCATGTTTGCCCAGCAGCAATCAGGGGCTCTTGGCTGTGCTCTCCTTGGACTGGAGATGGGTTTTGATTTTTCCCATGTGGGCAGATGGTAGATATGCTGCTCTTCTGCCTTCTCCTGACTCATTCCAAGATATTGTGTGGAATTATGGGGTTGATTTTTCTTGAGCAGCTGTATACCCACCTTGCCTGATAGCAAAGCTCCTCACAAAGCATAGAGAGTCTGGCCAGGATGGGAGATCTTGGTGTCCTGTAAGGCCAGGCCATGCTCCCACTGTGCTCTGAAAGCATGGTAAGGAGAATTAGTAGAAATGGGTGTATTTTCATGCACATTCTGAGAAGGAATAGCCTCCATTTATTTGTGAGTAACTCTCCAGTTCAGACAGGCTGGAGCTTTTGGGGAAGAGGATTTTCTGGATCATGGCAGTGAGGGTAAAGGAAGAAGCATCCCTGCATGTTGTAATAGTCCATGAAAATGCTGTGCAGCTTCCTCTGCCCTGGAGATTCTCTCCATCGTGATTTTTAAAGGAATGTAATACAAATCACTGTGGAAATAAATTATATTTCCCAACGAGTCACCCAGCCATGCTTTACATACAGCTTGTGTTTGAGAACTGTGGACAACACTACTGCTCCAAAAAGGCGGTGCAGGACTTACGCTGTCTCTGCTTTTCACAGAATCCCAGAACGGCTGGGCTTGGAAGGGGCCTCTGCAGATCATCTAGTCCAACCCACGGCTAAAGCAGGTCCACCTAGAGCAGGTATTTTTGCCAGTGTGTATTGTGGAGCAGGTTCAAGTCACCTGCCTAGCTACCATCAGTTCCTGTTAACAGCTCTGTGAAGTAACAGTGCAGGTGGGGAAAACCCCATGGGAAGCTTAGATTCAGCAATATACTAAACCTTCCCTAAATTTAATTTGTAGCAAGGTCCTTCAGAATACGTATCTAATGACAGCAAGATCTGAGCTGATTGCAGTATAGTGACAATAAAAGGAAGGACAAGTGTGCAGGGAGAAGGGGGCATTGTGAACTTTGGATGAATGGGAGACCAGGCTTACTACTGAGGCATAATTACAGATGTTTGGTTGCCATGGCTTTTAAGAAAGAATAGAATATGCATCTGGAAGTGGGTTTTGTGATGGCACTTGTAGTAGGTGGTATTTGTGATACAACTGGAGTGATTCTTTGCTAAGAGGTAGCCTTGCCTTGGCATGGGAACACCCTGCTGGAATGTACGTTGCTGTAAAATGAAAAAATGAGATGCTCACAAGAATGAAGGCACAACTACCTGTGTTTGTAGTGTGCATTTGTGGGACATGCCCAGCAAAAGGAGTTTCAGGGTAGTTTCCCATTTCTCCACCTGTGTGTAGTGCAGAGCAAAGCAACAGATCCAAGTGTGTTTCAGAGATCAGGCATGTCCCTTCTGGACACATGTGGCAGAAGCTGGGGTGGTGATCACGGAGGTCACAAAGGGACAGAGACAGAATCCTCGTTGTGACAAAGCTAATACGACATGTGAATTACACTATATCTTGTATGTGTGTGTGTGTATAAATGAGACACTTAAAGGAAGTAATTGCTGAGATGTCTGGAGACAGACATGAAACAGTGCGTTCTGGAAAGTTAAAAGCTTAGCCAGTGTACCAAGGTATTTCTTAATGTAGCAGAATGAAATTCCTTTGGGTGCAGCAAATGAGACACATAAAGTGTAATGCCCTGTGAAATCACAAAGAGCCACTTTCAACAGATGGAAAAAGCAACTGTAATACAAAACCAAAAATTGATAGACTCTGCCTTTGATAATCCAAGTACCAGCTTACACTTTACAGTATCCATTACTGGCTGTGAAGTGTATTTTCGTAGTTAATTGCACTTGCTAGTTTGTCACTATATAGAGTTTAAAAATTTGAATTCTATGCTCTGCCGTTTTCTTCACTATGAGGAACTAAAAAAACTCTGTGACAAGTGGCTCCCAAGTCACACATGCTGTTTCACTCTCCTGTCTGCTTCACCAGTGTGGCAGTTCTTAGTGTGGAACTGAACCTCTGGGCTTGAAGCTGGTTTTAGGAGTCCCTGTGGTAGTGATGTCAGGAGGAATAAGGGGACATGTATGAGGAGCCCATGGCCAATGGCAGAGCTTTACGCTGGCACCCTGGAACCAGGGAGCTTTTCTGCACCCTCAGAGGAGCAACATCATAATGTAAGTGGGATGTGAGTGCTCACCTTGCCTCACCACCTCTGACCATCTTGCGATGTTCACAGAGGAGTGGGGCACCTCTCACTGCTGCCCTGTGCTATGAGTGACTGACCTGATGTAATCCAGTGTAGAGAACTAGGAAGTGATGAGCAGAAGGAAGAATAATCCTAATTTTGTGTAGACAGTCAAAAGTACAGAGGTGATTGTTCAGTGATGAATGAGACCTGGGATAGTAATAAATACTTATATGGAAAAGCTGGCACAGCACTGAGTCATAAGAGTGAATAACATGTTAGGAGTTCTTAGAGAAGCAACAAAACACATAACAGGATTGTGTCCTTACCTAAATTCCCAGTGCTGTGCACCTTGAATATTCTGTGCAGTGCTGTTCCCCCATTTCAGAAAGTAAAGAACTGAACTAGAAAATGTTAGCCAAGACAGACAAAGATAATAAAAGATCTGGAATGGTTTCTTTATGAGGAGAGCTCTGCCTTGGAAAAGAGAAAATTAAATGGAATATATGTGTATAAAATCATGTGGAATAGGAAGGATGAGGAAAGAATGATTGTTCACTGTCTCTGTTGATGAAGGGCCTGGAGTTGGAGGGAAGGACATGAAAATACCTGAGTCAAACTCAAATTAAAAAAATCAAAAGGGAGGTGTTTCTTCACACTATGCATACTGGAGCTGTGGAACTCCTTGTGTCTGGATGTTGTAGGTGCTAAAAGTTACAAAAATTTAAGAAGTTACAAAAATTGTGAAATTGAAATCCACCTGTAAATATTAATCACCAAAGCCCCACCACATTCTCTCTTCAGAATTTTTCAAACTGTATGTGCATCACTGGAGATTGGGAACATGCTGCTACGTGCTTTTCTATTTCTTATGTTCTTTGCTAGACATTCTTCTGTCTGTTGCCAGAAGCAGATATTGAGCTGAATGAACTTCAGATTTGAAGCCATGTGGCTACCCTTGCACGTCTATGTTATCCTCAGCTTGAGACATTCCAGGGAAGAAGCTATGTTTGATGCAGATTTACATTTAGGGCCAGTATTTTTTACTGTTGGTTTATTTACCTCTAAAATTTTTCTCTGGCTCATCGGAGATAACTGCATCTATAAGCTGTGGTGTGTTTAATTATTGCAGTGCAAGTTGTAATACCAGCAATGGAAGTCAGGTCTAAATTTGCGAGACGTGCTGTGTTGCATGGATGTCACAGATGGGTAGGCGAGGCCCTGATCCAGTGATGGTTTGGCGATTGATTGGGGTCAAGGAAGACAGGGGAAGAAGAGGTTCAGTCAGCATCTAGGATCCATTCAGAGTTCTCTGTGAGATGGTCAGTTGAGACCCTGGGAATGTTTATGGAGACTCCTGTGCAGTGGATGGTGGCTGAAGAACATGCACTTATATTCCTGTGGAAGGGGCTAGCAGCCTGCTAGCGGGAGAAACTGAGATGGTCAGGAGGTTGTGGATAGATGGAAATTGGTATTGGGTTAAGCAGACACTCACTCCAGTCTCCACCATTCCCACTGCTTTGCACACTTGGTTGTTCACTGTACAGCACAAAAGTCCTGTTCAGGGCTGCCTCTCACTGCATGTCTGTGTTACTGTCGGGATGGAGCCAGCTCCCCAGCTTTTCCTCTGCAGGAAGCTTTCCATTTACATGCCACAGAAATAACTCCTGTGAAATTAATTAATCACAGTTTACATGGTAATAACCCTTTTTTAGGGGTAAATAATGTGTATCCCCTGCTGGAGTGGGGGTTCTGCTGGTTCCAACATTTGATTATTACATAATCTTCTTCCCATTAAATTATCAGAGTGAGACCAAAGGAGACTAACAGTATTGGGAATAATTAGCAGCTGCCTTGTGTTTGGGGCATGGGCTTACCTCCTTAATGCTCATTCAGAAGCCCATAATAGTTAAGGAGAATGCAGGTAATCTTGGTGCTGCCAAGCAAGTGCCACAGAATTTTGGGCTGGCACCGTGGTGCTGTGCTGAGGGGCCTGGCTAGGTCTTACTCACAAGGAGCTTTATTCCAGAGAAGTTCTGTGCAAACAAGGCTGCTCAGCCCCTAGTACCTGCCTGAGTCCATTCCCTTTCCTCGCTGCATGTCTGCTGAGAGCTGCATGGGAGGGTGCCTAGGAATGCTGGGTGACAGGGCTTTGTTCAGTCTCTTCTCCTCTCAGACAGGCTCAGTGCAGGTCCAGGCAGTCACAAATGTATCACTTTCTTGTGAGTGTGTGAGGAATGTCATTGTCACCCAGTGCTTCTGACAGAGAAAGGTGAAGAGGCTTGCCCAGAGCTGTGGAGTATGTCTGCAGCAGAGCAGAGTCAGGGCTGCAAGTCTGCTCCTAGAAGGGACCAGCCCCACACTGCTGCATGCAGGCAGGCCCTTCTGCTGAGCAGTGCTTCAGGAGCCATCCTGCCAACACAGGTGTGGCTGATGGCCTCTGGAGAGGTGATGTGCCAGCCTGACTAGCAGCCACATACGTGATCACAGCATGCATAAGGAGAGCTACTCTGAAGTGAGTCGTGTCTGGAAGGGTTTGCTCAGAAGCACACTCTAGTTCCTGTGCTCTGATTACCCTAAGCGCCACTGTGTATTTCCTGGTTTATGTTTCCTTTTCCTCCCTTGACTTTGCTACTTTTGCTTTCTTTAACATTGCATTCTCTGTTGTAATTACTACTTTAATCTACAATGTTACCACCTGCCTGCCTGCCCCAACTTCTGGCCACCTTTAGAGCCAGTGCTGATAACAAGTCAAGGTGCCTCTCAGCTGCAGTGTTCCTGCAGAAATAACTCTCTAAATAAATAACAGGCAAATTGGATATTGGAAAAGAACTTTAAATAACCTCTGAATTCCTATAGGGAAGTACATCTTACATCTCTGTTAGGGACAAATGAGTTCAACATAAGTAATGATCCTCTGAAATGAAAAATAAAGAAATATTGCTCATCAGCCTCTATGGACTGGAATGAGAATAGAGTTTGGTGATAAAAGCAAAATGCAAAGTTTTCCCTAGGTGGTAGATGAGAGCAAAAGAATTAAACATCATTGGACTATAGACATAATCTCTGACATGTGCCACAGCATGCCTCCAGATATCTGCTTTGGATATGGTTGCTCTAGCTTTTTCCTCTCATGGGAAAAGAAGCTAAAGGCCCTTTACTGTGACACCATTCCTGGCAGCCCTTGTGGCACATGCCAGGCCATGACCTTCCCAGATGGAGTTGCATCTTTCAAATGCAACCTTGTGCTGAATTCTAGCTCTTCAATGAAACATAACTAGCTGGAATTCTCTCAATGACTTTCTGTTTTTTCCCGTACTGATGTAATGCTAAAATCCTCCTTTTTCCCACTTCAAGTGATTAATTGATATTTTTATTTTGATTGCTATCTCCCTGTTGTTTGATACTGGCCCCTTTTCCCCTTTTGGAGCCTATGACTGGACAATCCCCTGTTGGTTGTGGTAAACATATTCCTGTTAGTGGGTGGA